TCTCTCATAATGTTTTTTTTCACCTCCTTTTTTTCCTGTCCCCCCCTCCGGGACTTTTTCCCCCCGGGGGGGGGGGGGGGGCCCGGGCCCCCTCGCCCCCCCCCCCCCTGCGTACGCCACTGGTTACTATTGAAATATACTCAATGACTTTTAGTCTTTATTGTTAAGGTGTGTTATAGGGAGGGTCTAACTACAAAATTTCGACTTAAAAATCTATATGAATTCTACAGAGAAATGACAGAATAAGTTTATTAAAAATACACACGAGTAAGAAAGATGAATAAGCAACACGTCGAGCTGTTGGAATTAATTGACCACGACCATGATGAATTGGTTCTTGTGCAATAGAAGCATCAAGAATTTTAAATTTAACATTTCGAATTGCTAAAAGCAAAAAAATTCTAAATATTTTCAAAAAAGAAAAAAAAGTCAATTTTTTTCACATACGTTCATCACATAAAGGTCCTTCTCTTGTTGCCCATTGAAAACCTTGTACAATAGATTCTTTAACAGGTTCCGATGTTAATAATGTTTTATTAACTTCATGTGATAATGTATCATCAAGAAGAATATTTGGTCCATTTATATCTGGTCCAAATGCCCAAATTGAACGACTAGCAAGTATATCCCATTCATAACGATTTTGAAAAAAATCACTTATACGTTTATTATTCCAACCAATTTGTACAACTTCTTGTTCAATATCTTCAGCTATACCTTTTTCTAATGGTTCAGCTATCATTGTTAATTTATTTCTTTGAAATAATTAATATGATTAATGTGAAATCAAAAAAAAAAAAAAATTGTTTTTACTTTTTATTTGGTGTTTCAGCAAAACATTTTAATGAAGATGTTTCAACAACTGTTTCACAAAATGTTACAACTGGATCAGCAACTTTGATTTCTAAATAAAAAAAAAAATTTTTATTTTGAAAAAATTATAATTAAATAATACAAACCTATTTCTGAATACATTCGACGAAGATCATGCATAACACAATCAAGATAAAGTTCACCTGTACCAAGGATAATATGTTCACCAGATTCTTCAACTTTTGTATTTAATAATGGATAGCTTTTATTAACTTTACGTAAACCATCTAACATTTTTGGTAATTCAGATGGATTCACCGGTTCAACTGCAATTTTTATAACTGAAGTTGTATTAAATTTTAATGGTCGAAATATTTGAACCTAGACAAATGTATATATTCTAGATAATAATAAACTAAAGTCGAAGATTAAAAGAATTTATAATCATAATTAAAACTAATTACACGAACATATTTAACCTATTAATCATCTATCGAAAATAGAATTTTGTTCATAAATAAGACTCAGAATTGATTAATCATTTTTGATTCAGGACTGTATGTATAATCATGAAAAAAAGTTCAGATCCTTTGCTTATAGTTATAAAGATACTATGTTTTTGTAGTATCTTTAGAAACATCAGGATAATTAATATTTGAGTCTTCGCTTGAAACTTGACACATGGAATGATTTTAACGAAAATAGTTTATTGTGAATTCTCATCTCAAGATACGATGATGCTAAAAGTGTGTCATTGTACATTGCTTATACAAACAGGGTAAATTCGATAATCTCTTTGAAGCAATAAATTAATGGTTCGAACTCTTTTCAAGATATTTTTTGGCTTATTAGGATCTAAAAAATACACTTAGCTCCGGCTCAAAAGTGATTAATCCGTTACAATACTTCTCTACTAAATGAAATTAGATAAGGTCTAAAAGGATATTTGTCCCTGTCGGTCTTTCTTGTCGAATTTTTATCTGAAAATTTCACTAAAAACAGATGATTTCTTCTCACTATATTGAACGTTGAAAATTCCGTACGAGGAATAACAAAAAACGTACACTCAGATCATAATAAATAATTCCAAAAAAATGGATTCAATATGTTTTAAAAAACGAGAAAAATGACGAAACTTATTACTTACATCATCAATATTTGTAACATTCATACGACGACCTCGTATTAAACCTGAGTTATCAACAATAGTTGATGTTTTAACAATTGATTGATCAACACCTTCAATTAATACCCAATTACCAACTGGAACTCGATTAAGTTCAATACGATATCTTAAACAAAAGATAATTTTCTTTTATAAGAAAACAATAAAATAAAAATCATACTAACCGAGCATTAAATACCCATAATCGTCCAACAGCACATGAAAATGAATCTTCTGGATCTTTTAAACTATAATTTTCACCTAAAATTCTTACATCTTGTCCTGATTTAAGTGTACCACAAAAAATTCTTCCTAAAACATGA